AAATGACGACATTAGAAACATTGTCAGATGTTGTTGTGTCAGTGCCATCTCATGGTAACTCCATGTAGTTACCATGTAGTTACCATGTAGTTACCATCAGTGTAGAATTGTTCCATGGCTTCTTAAGGTTGCAACCTGTTGTTGTTGTTATGTGACGTGGAGTTGGTTCCGACTCATAGTGACCCTGCACAGGGTTTCCGAGGCTGTTAATCTTTACGGGAGCAGAACGCCTCTCTTTCCCCCACGGAGCAGCTGGTAGTTTCGAACTGCTGACCTTGAGGTTAGCAGCCCGATTCGTAACCACTACGTAACCACTATGCTACCAAGCTGCAACCTGTCAGGAGCAAATCGTCTGACCTCTTTTCTGAGATGCCTCGGGTGGATTTGAACTGCCAACCTTTTGGTTTGGGTTAGAAGTCAAGCTGTTCGTGCTACTGGGGACTTCTTTAAGAAATACGAGCAATCAATGATTTCTAAATATGGGCGTAATTATTAATAAAGAGAACTAACATAAATACAAATGATTCAAATGATGATGAATCTCTAGTTCATCATAACACAGTTCACTTTACAAAAGACTTTTTTCTCTAATATGTTTTTACTTATATGAGATTAAGTCAAAAAGTCTTGTTACTAGGGTTCCAGTTCACACATGCATGGGTTTATTCTAAACAAAATGTGTTTAAATATGTCTATGCAATCAGTGGGTGACTGCAGACAAATTCTCTCCCTAAGGACACCTGTTATTATTCTCATTAGGGTGTCTTCAAACATAAAAGTCAGATCAAAAGAGTGGATTCCAAGGGGATCTGCTGGGCCAGTTAAATTCAAGGCAGAGAAGTCTGCTCAGAAGGTGCTGGCAACCATTTTTCTCGAAAGATACAGGGCGATCACGGAGGCTTCTTAGGAAGATGTTTTCAGAACAATTGGAAACCACATCGATGAGAAAAAAGCCAAGGAAGTTGTGTGGAAGAATGCCTAATCCATTTTGACAGAGCATCTGCTTATTCTTCAATGGTAGCAAGGGCTGTCCTACAAAGATTCCATTGGGAAACCTTATCCCATCTACCTTACAGCTTTGATCTTACCTCTTCAGATTTTGTTTTGTTTCTCAAGCTCAAAGAACATTTATCAGGAGCACAACTTGAGTTCCTTGAGGATATCTAAACTGCCATTTTGACATGGTATGAAGCAAAGAGTGCAAAACTCCTTGGGAAAGAGTTGTTGTTGTTAAGTGCCGCCGAGTCGGTTCCGACCCATAGCGACCCTGAACAGGGTTTTCGAGACTGTAAAGCTTTACAGGAGCAAAAAGCCTCATCTTTCTCCCATGGAGCAGCTGGTAGCTTTGAACTGCTGACCTTGTGGTTTGCAGCCCGATTCGTAACCACTACGCTACCAGAGTTAGAGATGGCTATATCACCTTCAGAAGTGTATAGACAAATGATAGCTTCACACATTGATCTTTTTGTTTAGTAAAGGTTTCTGTGATTTTGAAGTAATGCTTTTTACTTACACTTGTATATATAAAAAGTAAAATTGAAACTAAGCCTTGGGTCATCAAGTTGGCTCTGACTCAGTGTAAAGACAGAGTAGAACCATCTCTCAGGTTTCCAAACATGTAACCTTTTCATAGGCAGACCGACACAGCTTTCTCCTCAGGAGCAGTTCCTGGATTCGAACCACCAACTTTTGGTTAGCAGCCAAATGTTTAACCACCGTGCCACCAGGACTTTTTATAGGATAGGTACTAACCCAGTGATTACGTTTAATCTCTTTAAAATGACTGTCTAAGTTATTAGAAGCTACCTAGTATTTTATCATTTTCATCTAGATTTCCAGAGTCTGGGAAAATCTTTGTTGTTGTTAGGTGCTGTCTAGTCAGTTCTTACTTATAGCAGCCCTGTGCAGGGTTTAGAGGAGCAGCTTGTGGTTAGCAGTCCAATGCTGATTCTACAATGCCACATCAGGACTCCAACGGCAAATCTTTTGGGATGCTCTAGCAGGCTCAGGGTAAGAAAGAAGGGAACTTTCAAATGCTTGTGGAAACATGGAATTAACAAGTAATGGAACTTTTCTGTGGGCGTTTTGAAGCCCTCTGGCATGTCTTGTAACAAAGGTCAACGATCAACATCTTAGTGACTCTGGTACTCAGCTCATTAAGCATAAAGACTTGGAAATGCATCTAAGCTAGGCCTTGGCTTTCGCTACCAAATTATGTACAATGAAATAACTAACTATGTATTCACTTGAACAATATAAAATTGTTGATGTTTTTCTTAAAATAGATTTAATATGGTTTAATAGTTTGGGAAGGCAGTGACTCTGTAGGATAAGTACTGGACTGCTAACCCAAGGTCAGAATTTTGAGCCCATCAGCTCAAAACTCCATGGGAGAAAGAAGAGGTTTTCTGATCCCATAAGATTAACACCGTTAAAAACCCTGTTGTTGTTAAGTGCCATCGAGTTGGTTCCAACTCATAATGACCCTGTATGGGTTTTCATGGAGCAGCTGGTGAATTTGAACCGTCGATCTTGAAGTTCAAACCGACCTTGCAGTCTAGTGCATTATCCCACAGTGCCACACCAGGTCTGTGATAGAGGGTCGTTATGGGTGGGAAGTGACTTAACAGCACTTTAAAACAACAACAATCTGATGTTTGGAATCAATTAAAATCCAAGTCCCCCCACTCAGGACTCGCCATTTTAATTAACAAGAAACAAACAAAAAACAAAACCAGACTGAATGGAATCAATTGTACAAGGGAGCTTAAAAATGTTCATGGAAAAAAATCTATTATCTTTTAATTCCATCTTTTCATGAACTTTTTGAAGCCTCCTCATATCTAAAATCCTATTACATGGTAAATGTCTACAGTGAGTTAGCAATTAGAGGCACTTTCTGCTAGGTCTTGACCTTAAGAAACTCAGAGTTCAGTATGGGAGACTTAAAGGCCTTAAATAAAATGCAAAAGAAGTGTTGTGTGTGTAAAGCACAGGTTAATGATGACACAAAAGAGGTATCAACTCTTATTGAATGAGTCAAAGAAGGCATCCCCAGTGGAGTTTTACCATCTGGGTTCTGAAGGATGAATAGGAGTTCACCAGTTATACAGGGAGGAACACATACATTTCAGGAGGAAAAAGCAGCATGTGTAAGCATCCCATAGTTCATTGGGGTATTATAAGTGGTTTGATCTGGCGAAGGCAGAGATTCTGTGTGGGAACTGGTGAGAAACGAGGTTGTAGAATTAAATAGGAATCAACTATGCAAGGCCTTATGATTCATTCTGAGGAGTACTGGGGCATCATGGAAGCATTTCAAATAGAGGAGGAAGAGGATCTGGTTAATATTTTAAAGATTACTGTATGATTACAAGTGTATAAAGAGAGGAAAAAGAAGAAAAAAATAGAACAACAACAAAAACACAGTCAAAGAATTTACAGAGACCGTCTCCAAGGGGATGGTGTGCTGGTGGTACAACCGTTAAAGTGCTCAGCTGCTACCCAAAAGACCGGCAGTTCAAACTCACTAGCCATTCTGTGGGAGAAAAATGTGGCAGTCTGCTTCCATAAACAATTACACCCTTGAAAATCCTATGGGCTGGTTCTACGCAGACTTATCAGTCACAAAGAGTAGGAATTGACTCAGCGGCATTGGGTTTGCTTTTTGTTTTGGTCTCCAGGTGATAGAATTTTATCTTCTGTTTCTTGTATGATGAGTTAATTTATTGTTATTTCTTGGAGACAGTAAATTAATTTAAATTCTCTAATTCATTACAAGGAATAGTCATTTACATTGGAGCCCATCCTTAGCCCTATTCAATCCTGTGAACTTAAAAAGCAACTATGGGTTACTAATGATACAAAATCCCAACCAAAGTCATTAGTGTTGAGTGAATGCTAACTCATGGCGGCCCTGTAATTAGACTTTGGAAAAGTGAAGGCATTAAGTACTAAGTCATCTCAGCCCATAGAAGAACTCAAAAAAAGGTAGTTTTCTGTAGCTAGTAATCTACCTCTCGGGGTACAGCCAGTTTATTACCACATACATATCACTAATTTTGAAATGAACCAATGCTGGGTGAAAATGAAGTTTAAACAAATGTAACATTCTACTTTGTTTTAGAGGCAACAGCAATTTCATCACATATGCCAAATGAGATGACCTCACGTTCAAGTACTCTAAGGAAAACAATGCACTGAGGCTTCCACTCCCCAAACACACTGGTGAACCCAAGTCACTGTTCCCTCGAAAATGTGGAGCCATCACCAACTTGCAAGGGTGCAAACAATAACTGATAAAGGCATAGGCAAGTGAAGCTTTGATCAAACTGTTATTTACAAATGAAATGAGCAAAATAAATGACCGACAAAGAGTTCAGTCATAATCACATTTATACAGAATATCACACTTTACGTGGAAAGCTTGCCAAAAGTACTTCATTGAGGAAAAAATGTAACTAAAGAAACCCAAAGGAACTCTGGGAGCATAGTGGTTACAAATCGGACTGCGAACCTCAAGGTCAGCAGTTCAAAACTACCATTGTTCCATGGGAGAAAGATGAGGCTTTCTGCTCCTGTAAAGATTTATAACCTCGGAAACCCTGTACACGGTTGCTGTGAGTCTGAACCAACTCCACGGCACATAACCACCACCACCACCAAAGAAACCATTTGTAAAACACGGGTAATAGTAACTACTTCATAAGGATGTCATAAGGAATTAAAAATAATATTCATAGTGTGCTTAGAATGCTGTCTGGCACACAGTACACATTAAATATTATCATTACTATTGTATCTGACACTCAGTGAGTACTCAATAAATTATAGTACCATTATTAGAGCTCCTAATTTGCCTCTTGCCAATTATTCTAATTTAGAAATCTGAACTGCACAGACATCCTTATTCGTGTCAAAGAATACTTACTCAACACTGCAAGGAAAATGAATTAATTATTAAAAGGCTTTGAGAAAAAAGATTAATCACATTTCTTTACCTCTTCATATCTGTCAAAAACTGCTCCTTCTTGCAGAAAGGAAGGAACTTCCTTTTGCCAATTGAATTCATAAGGTTTGGCCATGATTATATTCAAGACCTGCAATGAAAACAAAATTTTAAAATCTCATTAGTAAACAAAATCAAACACGTGAGGATCAAAAGTTAGTTACTTTTGCATTTCTGTGTTTGTGAAAGATTTTCCTCAAATACTTGGAGTCAGTCTATACATTGTCTGTCATCTCTTTCTTCCCCCCTTCATTTGATCATAATTTTCTTCCTCTTTGATTCTAAACCTGGAGAAATAATATCCAGAAATACTAGATGTGATCATTTGGGCAGCTTCCCTTCTCTCTTTAAATTCTATAAAGTAAGAAAACTACTGTTTTGTTTAGAAATCTGACGGCATTGGATTAAAGAAGAAAATCACAGATCAAGACAAATATATTGCAGAAGCCAGTGGGCATATTGTCAGTTCTAGAGGCACTACCAGCCTTAAAGCCAACTCAAGAGCCTGAAGAGTCCCCATGGTGATAGTTGCAGTAGCAACTAGTAGGCAGACTGTTTTATTACCCATGGTCCTATCTTTAGCCCTCTATCACCCTGTTGGGCTAGGCCAGGAGCCACAGAATGTCTGCTTTTTAGGATGGGCAGCAATATGGTATTTAAAGAGAGATTGGGCATTGCTCAGAGGGTGGCAGTCTATACTTGGCAAGTATTAGCTTATCCTTTGATACAGCCTTCTTAGCATTATGTAGTATGTTGTACATGCAATAACTTTAACCAGGACATCTTGAATGAAAAATTAGGCACACAATCATGGATAACCACATACTCATGCCAAGTCAAGAACATGAAAGATAAACACAAAACACAAAAAGAAGAAGAAATTATGCCTGAGAAACAGAGTTAACAAGCAGAATATGGACTTTGGCATAAGTATAACTGATATCCTCTGATAAAGAGTACATTCTGTTCCAAAAATATAACCAGATACAACAGGTTATAGATATTTTTGAAAAAGTTGTTGAAACAAAGCTTATAGTAGGTAGTGTGACTAGTATGAGAACTCAAAGTGTTGAATCAAGAACTTCTTACAGAATGAAACACAAAAAGAAATACAAAGACTAAAACAAAAGTTTAAGCACATTCAAAATGGAACCAAATGGCTCAATAACCACCTAACAGAAGAACTTTTATCAGAAGGAGAGAAATTACAGGCAATGGAGAGATGAGTATAATGAAAGTAATAGCAGATGCTTTCTGAAACCTGAATATTTGAGTCCTCAAAGTGAAGAAGTCCACTGATTCTAAGTAGTAGAAATGAGTTAAAAAAAAAGAAAGAAAGAAAAAAGATACGTGCACCTAAATATACCCTGTGATGAAAACGAGAACACAAAATAGAGAAAAAAAACAACAAAAACTACAAAATCTCACAGATTAAGAGAGGCAAAAGGCAATCCAAAGAAAAGGGACAAACTAAAACCAGACAAGTTTTTGGTTGGGCAATAACTTCCAGAGACTTGCTGTTGCTATTACGTGCCATCAAGGGGGTTCTGACTCATAGGAACCCTGTATAGGATTCTCTGAGGAGTGGCTGGTGGGTTTGAACCTCCAATGTTGGAGTTCAAACATACCTTGCCATCTAGTGCGTTATTCTGCAGTGCTACACTCAATCGTCTAAGAGGAAATTATTTGGGGCTTATAATTCAGAATCCAATAAAAAAAGGTTCCAACTTCTAAGAGAAAATATAGAACTAAGGATATCATCATGGACTCCTGGTAAGGTGCTGTAGGATAAGCACTGGACTGCTAACCGCAAGTTCAGTAGTTCAAACCCACCAGTCACTCTTAGGAAACTCTATGCTGGGTCACGATGAGTTGGAACCGACTCCACAGTACTTCACAACAACAACAAAGGATGTCATTGCTGACATCAGATGAAACTTGACTGAAAGCAAAGAATACCAGAAAGATGTTTACTTGTGCTTTATTGACTATGAAAACACATTTGACTGTGTTGTTGTTGTTATGTGCCATGGAGTCGGTCCCAACTCATAGCGACCCATTACGGGGTTTCCGCTGCTGTAAATCTTTACGGGAACAGAAAGCCTCATCTTTCTCCTGCAGAACAGCTGGTAGTTTCAAACTGCTGATCATGAGATCTGCAGCCCAATTCGTAACCACTACTGTACCAGAGCTCCTTTGACTGTGTAGATAAAAAAAAAAAACAAAAAAAAACTATGGATAAAATTGAGACGGTTGGGTATTCCAAAACACTTAACTGTGTTTATCAGGAACCTGTTCTTAGACCACAAGGCAGTTGTTCTAACAGAACAAAGGAATACTGAATGGTTTAAAATCAGGATCAGGAAGGGCATGAGCCAGGGTGGGTTGTATCCTTTCACTGCAGTTAACTTATCTGTATACTGAGCAAATAATCTGAGAAACTGGATTATAAAAAGAAAGTGGCATCACAATCTCCACAGGATTGGAGGAAGACTAACAACTTTTGATATGCAGATGACACAATCTTGCTTGCAAAGAGGACTTAAAATACTTATTGATGAAGACCAAAAATCAACACTCATGGAAACAGCATTCAAGAATACATATAACATATTGAATTAGGCAAATCTGCTGCAAAAGACATCTTTAAAGTGTTAAAGTGAAATGTCAGTTTGAGGACTAAAATGTACACCTAAGGTTGGTTTAGGAGTCCTGGTGTGGCGCTGTAGGATAAGCAGTGGACCGCAAGGCCAGTTTGAACCGCAAGTTGGGCAGTTCAAGCTCACATGCCATTCCTCAGAAACCCTCTAAAGGGTTGCAATGAGTCAGAACCAGCTCAAAAGTACTTAGCAACACAGCAAATAAACATGCAATGTAAGTACCTGGTCCATGATGTTTCTCAGACCTTACAACAATGCTTAAAATGTTCATCTCTATCCAACTCGATGTAGTGTTTTGGTTATGAATCGGGCTGCGAACCTCAAGGTCAGCAGTTCGAAATTACCAACTGCTCGGTGGGAGAAAGATGAGGCTTTCTGCTCCCATAAAGATTTATAGCCTCAGAAACCCTGTACAGGGTCACTATGAGCGGAACCGACTACACGGCACATTAACAACAACAATCCATATCGACAACACACAACCATGAACCACCATCATTCTGGGTATTCATTTCATCATACTGAACATACTACGTGAAGGACTTTGTGGGAGAAAGGGATGCTGATGGAACAAGCATGGTTAATTCGATCTTCATCTTTTAAGAAGGTTGACTCCAGGTGCAGAGGGAAGCTCACTGAATACTCATCTAATTGCTAACTTTCAGAGCTTTGGGATTCAGAAGACGCTAAGAGGCATATTGGCTAAAATGATGTTGGAGTATCCTGAATTTCCCCAAGATTAATTTAGGGTTGTGGGGGAGAGGCGTTCCTTGCTCTGACTCTGAAATACTTCCTAAGGGTCTGGCATTAGGGGCAGTGACTGGTATACTTTAATGTAATAAATACAACTATGAACTACAGACTAGAAACTGTAGACCTAGCTAATCAAATTAACAGCATCTTGATCCAGGTTGTTGATTTTAAAATGGGAACAAGTGAAGGGATATATTGTAGTCCAACTGACTCCAGGTAAACTTAAAGGAATAAACAGTGGTTTCTTTACAAGACATAGGGGATGGGTGGGGGACGGACTGATCACTCAATAAATAGGTCCTTTTTGTAATGATCTTAAAGACCCACCCACAACTAATTGCTGAAAAACACTTTCATTGTGCTATACCAAATTCTCAAATTCTGTAGCCTGCCTGGTAAGACCTCACTTCCAAGGTACTTCAAGGTGCAACTGCCTTCTCTACCCTTTAGAACACCACTGCCTCACCCTATAGAAACCACAGGAAGGGCCAGTCATCTTCTTGAAGAGCACAGGAAATAAAGGAGAATTTACACAAAGCATTTACACAAACCTTGCACCTTTTCCAGTATAAACACTGAGCACTGACTGGAAAGAGGCCAGTGGACTTTTAAATGGTCTCATTGTTTCTAATTTCTTATGCAACTGGAACGGATTACGTATTGCACTGACAGAGAGGAAAAGTCCCTGGACTGCAGACAGCTTGGCAGGAAGGAGGAAAAGAAGAGGGGGAATCCTAAAAAGTCCTACTTCACAGCAAGTAGCAAAAAACTGAAAGCTTTAGTAAAAGAGCCAGAAGGTAACTTGAGGGAGGCTATACAACCTTGATCGCTGAAAGTGAAGAGGACTTGAAACATTTAC